GTGGTGCCCACCACAAGGAGAAAGCCTGCCTGACATTGAGTCCAACCCATAAAAACAGAGCTTAGGAAAGATAGCTTTCTGATAACATCATCTGAACACCTTGATTTAGCAATATCTGAAGAAAAAAAAAAACCTAGACTTTGAATTATTAATCAATAAATTGCTTTTGATATAAACTAGTTTTATTTTTATTATTATTGATCAGAAAAAGTTACTAACCCTCAGTTCAGAAAAACATTGAGATTTATTTGTAAACTGCCAAACTGGTTTCCAAAGAGGCTGTAATATTTTGTATTCCCACTAACAGTGTGTGAGAGTTCTAGTTGCTCCACATTCTCACTAACAAATGATGTTATCAGTCTTTTTAATTTGGGCCATTCTAAGTAGGTAGGCCATTTTATCTGATTGTTTCAATGTGCATTTCGCTAATGACTTATGATGTTAATCACTTTTTCACATGCTTATTAGTCATCCACATATTTTTTATATTGAAATGTCCATTCCAACATTTTGCTATTGTTATTGGGTTATTTATCTTATCACTATTGAGTTGTAAGAGCTTTTTTTTTTAATATTCTTGTTCTGATATTACTCCCCAGTTGACGGCTTGCTTTTTATGTTCTTGGCAGATGTATATAAGTGGGAGGAAAGCAGGATAGTGTGGGAATAAGCTTTGTACACACATGGGATGGTAGAAGTCATCCTGCGCATGCTGGGGAGGTGGGTAGTTGTGGGACTAAAATGGATAAGTATAGTAGAGTGTGGGAATGTGGGCTGTGGCCCTGGCAATGAGAAGTGAGGGCATAGAGTGAATGAGGCTATATTTTAAAACGAGAAAAGAGAAGGCATCTTGACATACTGAATGTGAGGGATAAAGATGGGGAAGAGGTAAGAACTGCAGAAACTAAGTGAAGAAGGGGATTTAAAAGATCACCTAGTTCCATTCCCAATTTTACTGTTGAGAAACGAAAGGCCCAGAGAGGAGTCGTGATTTTACTGAGATCGCACAGCAAGTTAGCAAGAGCGCCAGAGGCCATCCAAATCAATGGGTAGGGACCTTGCCGTTCTCACTACATTAACCTGACCTCAGAACTCTAAAGTCTCGGGCCTCTGATCACGGAAACATCTCACAATTTGCTGAAAATGAGAATTCAACTTCATTTCTCCTCTCTCAGCCTCTCTGTGCTCCTACCCACCCACCACCATGCTCAACTTTAAAAAGAAGACTAAACAGCAAACATTTCTCTGCATGTTTTTTTTCCTGTACCCACATTTTTTTTCTTTTTTGACTTAACAAACCTACCATCAGCAGTTTTTATGATGTAAACCACTTTCTCCCTGTTGGAATGAGTAGCATGTTAGAAGTACAGCTACATCTACCCACATGAATATATCTTAGATTATAATGTTTAGCAAAAAAAAAAAAAAAAAAAAAAAAAAAAAAAGATGCATCATGATATCATTTTGCTTAACTTTTAAAGTCTATAAAACAATTCTTCGGAATGATTGTGAGCTCATGAATATGTAGTGAAAGCACATAACCATTGAATTCATGAAAGTTATTAACTATGCGGAGAGAGAAGGGGAATGAGATTGGAAAGAGATATCCAGGGACCGCTAAGTATGTGTGTGATGTTTTATTTCTTCAAAAAGTAAGAGAAAGAAAAAGGTAAAGTTCTGAAGATAACGTGACAAAATGCAAAAATTTGTTACAGCTAGATGGTGGGTTAACTATTCTAATATCCTCTATTATCAGTATATTTTACATGCTTTACAAGGCTTTTAAAATGCAAAAGTGAAGCATCATTTACTATTGTCAGCATTCACCCTTGATCTCTTGTTATTATACTGATGATTCACATCTATCAAAAAGGTTAAAAGGAAAGTTACAAGCACCAGTGATCAACAGAGGTGAATGTATCTCTTCCACATCTTCTGTTTAAGGACATAAATCTGCCAAATTTTTTCAAACAGGCATTGAAAATAAGGGAGAAGTGCTAGAAGCTTTTCGATCAACAAACTTTGGCATGGCTTTCTCTGTGATCCAAAGTGAGCAACTGTAGCTTATTAAACAATGGCAAGAAACAACTCATAGATAGGGTGGGGAAGTCAGAGATGATAGCAACGGATCAGAACCTATCCTCTCACCATGTGCAGTCCCCCGGATTAGGGGACTGCTGTGAGCAATTGAGAGCCATCCCAGGGAACAGATGCTGCAGGCAGAGTCCACACGTAAGAATGCAGGTGGCTGGAGTAGTCAGAGTCCATGTTCATTATTGCGTCACTCCACGCAAACCAGTCTGGCAGCTGTCCAGTGCTCAGTGCTATCAAGAGCCTTCTCCTTTCCTGTGTCCATTAGCCCTGAAGACTCACTGTTTTGGTGTCTGCTGTTAGCTCCCACTTAAACAGACACAAGGCAGAAGCACCCCAGGAAACATGAGCACAGACTTCTCCAGGCCAGGATGGAATTAGCAGAAACTGATGTAAGAATGGTCCCTATTAACTAATGATAAAACAGCCTGTAGTTACCAAAGGGTTATCAAAAGCCAGACCCTGTGCTAAGTCCATGAGAGGAATTATTCAATTTAATCCTCACAAAAGTTCCATGGGATAAGTACCACCATTAGATACAGTTTACAGCCAGGAAAACTGAGGTTCAAAAAACATGAGGGACTTGTCCAAGGTCACACAACAATTAAGTTGCTCCAGGATGGGTCTCATACTTTGTCCCTTTTCTCTAGGATAAATAGGGGAATCTGGAATGGGAATATCCAGATCAACTGCACTTGGACCTACAACACCCACATCAACCTCGCTAGGGAAAGGCCCTGACACATACAGGGAATAATATGGGGGAATGGCATGAAAAGTCTCGAGGGAGATACGTAGCAGGCTCACTCTTGGTGAAAAGGTGAATCCGAGGTGCCAGCCAGCAATCAATGGCAAAAAGAAGGTGAAAGAATAAAGTAATTGAATGATAGTGTTATTATGATTTTGACTTTTTTCAATTTTGTTTTTTGTTTGTTTGTTTGTTTGTTTTGAGCTGTGTAACTCTGTTCTACAGGAAATCTTTGGCTGAAGGACAGATGTCAACTAGAAGCAGAGCCGCTCTAGGTAAGGATGAGGGAACATGAGCAGAGCTCTCTGAGACACCTCTACACAGCAGTTTACAACCCTAAAATTGTATAGATGACCAAATGGAGGCCCAGGGAGAGAGTGAGATATACTAGTCATCAAAATGCAATTAACAATGGTTAATTTTATTGTGCTCAACTAACTGTGCACCAGGCTGTTTCACCATTTCACATGTAGACTTAATCTCCACCACAGCTCTATGAAGAAGGCATTATCATGTCATAAAAGCTTCAGATAAGGAAAACTGAAACACAGAGGAATTAAATAAGTTGTCAAGGCAAGTAAAAGAACCAAGATCAAATCCAGCCACTTTGGCCTCAAAGACCAAGTGAGTAGCCAAGATGACACCTGCCTAACTAGAGCTAGAGGAAGTCAGATCTAGACCCCAACCTCCGACTTCCAGACCAGTGGTCCTGCATGTCTACCTCCATGCTGTTTCTGCTCTCATGGGGCAGAATGACAATAGGACTTAGTGGGAGGGACTGAAAAGTGTTTACATCTGAGAAATCTGGAGAAGCGAAATTGTTCATAGATTAAGTCGTGCCTTTTGTGCCAAGGGCATCGTTTGGGGTTTGTTTGCTTATAGTTTTAGGTTCATGGGTTGCCTTTTTCTGGGAGACACTCCCTGCTATAGGTGCCAAGGTGCCTAGATGAAGACTTCAAGCAGAGGAAGCAGAATATGATTGTTTTGGGTTCACTTCAATGACCTCGAGTGCCTTCTACAAGCCCAGGTCATAAGACTATAGAAGAAAGTTGTCTGTCAGAAAGTAGAAAGCCCTCAGCTAGGGGATGCTCCTTAGCTCCTTCTCTCAGGAACCGTGGTGGAGCCCCAGGAAGACACACAGCTCTAACAAGGGTTAGGAATGATTCCTTGGAGCAAGGTTCCCCTATCTCCCAAGCAAGCCTCCCCCCACCAATCTACCCCCACATTTCCCCAAAGCCACCACTCGTCCTGATAAACACCACACAAGAGAACACAGTGCCCTACCTTCATTCTCCTCTGAAAAAAAGAAGAAGGTTGCTTCAGGGAAACCAACCAGCCTGGTTGGCCTGGAACTGACATATCCCAGTAAATTCCTCAGTCCCAGGCAAACCATAATGGCTGGTCACCCTAAGTCACTCTCCCATGACTTGACAATTTTTTAGAGCAACAACTCTCCATTTCCTCAACTTGATGCCCACACTCACACACACACTCACACACAAATCACACTGTAATAGGTGGAGGCAGGAAACTGCCTGTTTTTCTCCAGTAACAGCAACCCTGACAAAAATAGGCTTGAATGACTAAGGCCAAGTTTATGACCACCTATAGGCCACAGAGGAACTCACTGCCTGAACTTTCTTCCTGTCCTGGGGGATCTCGGGAAGAAAGGAAGGAAGGGCTTAGTCACACCCTGGGAGTGGCAGCCAGGAGCAGTGCTGCTCAGCTTCTGACAGAGCGAACTCAAAGCTTCTTTCTTCAGGAAAAAAATAGATGCTTCCAGGCTTTACTCCCTTTTTACAGAGCCAGCATGACAAACACCCAGGGAGGAAGGAGAGGCAGCCAGAAAGCACAACCATCTCCCCATCTTTGGGAGAAAAGTTTCCCCAACCCAGCAGGTCCCTGAGCCTCCACTGGACCATCCACTTTGGCCAAGCCACAGGCCAAGGACCCCCTGGGAAACTCACCTGGGCCCCGGGTCAGACTCCGCTCCCTGGGGATGCAGAAGCAGCCACCCATGTGTATACCATCCTACCCTGGCCGAGGCCCTTGAGAACACCGGCCAGAAGAGTGCTGCAAGGGACAGCCTCCCAACGGTGTCCCTCCTCCCGCCTCCTCCCTGGCACACGAGGGACCGAGGCCTGCTCAATGCACAATGCAGCCTTTGATATCCCGGCTACAGCAGGAGGCCCAGGGAGGGTGGGAGGGGCCGCCTAGCCCAGCCTGCAGGCCCACAGCTCTTGCACTGTCAGGCCTGGAGAACAGGGCTCCTCCCTGCCTCTCAGCAGATCGCCTCATGCCTATCAGCCTGCAGCACATTCCTCGCATTCTAGGATTGAGATACACAGTTTGGTTCTTGTGGGGGCAGCCAGGGCGGGGGAGGAGGGCAGAGAACGTCCCAGAGATCAAGACTGCTGTTGGCTTTCTCCCTCCCTGACTGACTTGGCCCACACTGACTGGCCTGCCACCCCTTTACAGTGATCTCCACCCAGTCTCTCTCTGCAAAGGCCTCCCTTGGCTCTCTGATAAAGTTGGAGCTGTGGGTGCAGCATTTCACTTCGACCTAGCAGCATCAATGAGCCAGCTCCTCACTGGTGTGCAGGAAAAGAATCCAGGAGATCACCTGATGAAGCCCAGCGTTTTACAGGTGAGGGGTTGGAGAACCAAATACATTAAAGGATGGGGAGAGGTTGGTCAATAGGTACAAGGTAAGAGTTACATAGGAGGAGTAAGTTCTAGTGTTCTATTGCACAGTAGGGGGACTATAATAATGTATCATATATTTCAACATAGAAGAGAGGATTTTGAATGTTCTCACCACAAAAAAAAAAAAAATGATGTTTGAGATGCTGGATACGCTAATTACCTTGATTTGATCATTACACAATATATAGATACATTGAAACATCATATTCTAGCCTATAAATGTTTAGAATTATTATACGTCAATTAAAAATAAAACAAAAAAAAAATACAGCAAGACTACAGGTATGCATGCAAAACTGGTCCCACCAGACTAACCTCTTTCCCATTTCAGATAGGCAGTGGAGCAGGGGAATCCAGTTGATACTGTGGCTAAATTTCAGAAAACCTCCCATGAGACCTTGCAAAGGAGATGGAGAAAATATGACTGAATGCCAGCAAGGCTGGATGGAAGCATGACTACTCTAACAACCAAGCTCAAAGAGCACTGCTCACCCAATATTTCCTTCATGCCTAGAGCAAAGTGGTGAGAGGACCCTAGTGAAAGGCCCAAAGAACAGGAGGTGTGAGCCGAGAGAAGGTGGAGTCCTGCCGGGCCTGTGTTACAGGCTATTTGGAGGCTGAACTTGAGGTCAGTATCACCAACATTTTAAGGAGGGCAGCATCCCAATCAAGTTTATATTCTGAGAGGAGCAGTTGGGTGACCAGGTGAAGAATGGCCTAGGGGTCAGTCCCACCGGAGGTCAGGAGTATCCACCTCACACACCAGCCCAGCCCCAGAGGACAGGGTCTTGAGCCTGTCTCTGAAGCACTGCTGTCATCTTCATGCTTACTCATCCTGAGACACAGTTTCCGGATGTTTACTGTGGGCCAGGCTCTCACTGTACGTTATTCTATTCAAATCCCATAACAACCCCATAATGTAGGCATCATTTCTACTTTGTAAGTGAGGAAACGGATAAAGAGGAGTGTATAACTTGTCCAACTCCTTCCCTTCTCCCACCATTTATGAATGTCAGAGTCAAGACTGAGCCAGGTCTAGTTGATTCCACAGCCCAGAAGGATCACGTTTCTGATACATGGGATACATTGTGGGTTCTCCCATGACTGCTAGGACACACAATGAGAAAGGCCCAGGAAGGAGTGAAATCTCTGGAGGCAGCTAACCATTTACGCAAAGCCCCTAGGTATGCAGATATGCAGCAATTGTAACATCCAGCAGAGAGATGAGAGCTGGGGCGGGGAGTAGAGTGCAGGAGGGGAGTAGAGTGCAGGAGGGATGGGGTCTCTGATCACACTGCCACCGGGCAGGATGTTTTCTCTGTGCAGGTCTATTTAAAGTATCTACTTCCCATACAGTTTCTCATCTGTTTCCCTTACCGAAGCACAGTGTTTTTGAGTATGAATTAGAATGTTTTCTTGGGCCCACAATGAAAGTACAAGAGTTTCTTTAGAAAACAACCACTTAAAACTGGGATGTGCATGAAAATCAGACAGTGACGAGAAGTCCCATGCTCTAACTTACACATGCTGACAGATGTGCAGACTTATCATTGCTCCTTGGCTGGTCTGCACACCACTCTTACACAGGTGCAACAACAATCAGACTATAAATGATCAAAACCAATTACTGAAAGGATCCCAGGCCATCTGTCAGAGATGACACCTTAGGCAGTTGGCTGAGACACACATTATGGCAGGTCTTAAATGAATAGTCCATTCTGGATGAAGTCATTGCTTCCCTTAAGATGCAAGAAACTAGTGCTGTTCTGCTCCTGGGTAGCCTGATGAATTGATTAGAGCAAAGAAATTTCCAGCAGGAGCAAAGGCCCTGAAGTAGCAACTTGCTTAGCATGTTAAAGGAAGTGTGACTGAAGGCTAGTGAGGCACGTGAGGGCACAGAGATGAAGTCAGAGAAAGCAGCAGGAGACTAAACAGTGTAGGGCCTTAGAGGTCATCTAAGGACTTCAGCTTTTACTCTGAATGAGGTAAGAGCCAATGGAGGACACTAAAAAGAAGAGTAACATGCATGGCTTCTGGTTTTAAAGGCTCAGCCCGGCTTACAGGCTATAGATGGAACTCCAGATATGCAGCAATTGTAACATCCGGCAGAGAGATGATAATGGATTGAACCAAAGTGCTACTGGTAGAGGTGATGAAAAGAGTTTAGGTATTAGACATATTTTGAAATAAGGGTGTATTAATCAAGGTACTCCAGAGAAACAGGGCCAACAAAAGTTGATAAAGATAAAGAAAGAGGAAAAAAAATTAACTAATTGGCTCCTATGAGGGTTGGCAAATCTGAAATCCATAAGGCAGGCAAACAGGCTGGAGACTCAAGTAAGACTTGCTATTGCAGTCTTTAGACCAAATTCCACAGAGCAGCAGACCAGAATAGAAGCTCACACAAGTTTTCCATGTTGCAGTCAAGAATTCTTGAGAAGAGTTTCTTCTTTTTCAGGAAACTTCGGTCTTTGGTCTTAAGGCCTTCAACTGATTGGAAGGCCCCCAATCAGTTGGTGGGAAGACCCACACACATTATAGAGGGTAATCTGCTTTGTTCACTGTCTACTGATGTCAATGTTAATTATATATTTTTAAAAAATACCTTCAACATCTATTTTGTTCTTTGGTCAAACAACTGGGCACCATGACCTAGCCAAGTGAACACATGAAATTAACAATCACAGAGAGCCATGAGGATATGTGGATATATAGAATGGATGAGAGGGAAAAAAATATATACTCTAGAGCCGTTCTGAATTTTTTTACCTGAACAACTGAAATAATTTAATACTTATTGAAATGTTAAATGCTAGGAGAAAAGAAGCTTTGTGAATTGAAACCAGGAGTTTGGTTTTGTATATGTGATATTTAATAGTCCTTTAGTACATCCAAGCAAATGTAGACAAAGCAATCTGGAGTTCATGGAGAAGTTAAAAGCTGAAGGTAAGTATTTGGGAGTTGTCACTGTGCAGAGGGTATGTAAAGTTAGAAGACTAAATAAGATATCCTAAGGGAGACAGTGGAGGATAGAATACAGAAGATAAATCAAGAAAGAGCCCTACAAACACATTAATTTTTATATGAATAAGAAAGGAGTAGAAACCGCAAAAGCGATAGAGAAAGAGTGGCCAGTGAGAGGATATTTACCAAGAGCATAAGATGGTACAGAATTCAAGTGAAGAAAGTATAGGAAGACACCTGCAAGAGCAGAAGGTGATTAACTATGTCAAATGCTGCTAAGAAGTAAGATGTGCACAGAGAATTTACCACTGGACATCTTGGTAGAGCAGTGGAGATAAAAGCTAGATTGGGAAAGCTTCAAGAGTATATAGTAAAAAAAAAAACGGTGGAGCTCCAACCCACCTTCAACTCACCACCATCACCATCATTGCCATCATTATGGAATACCTCTTGTTTCCTTAATATTTGCTTGGTGTTCAGGGGTTACAAGCTTATATGTCTACAAGAGCCAGACAACTGATGGAAATGAGTGAGCTGGCCAGGAGACAAGTGGCAGCTGATTCCACTGTAATTGCCTGATGGATTCTTTCTGCCTGCTGCACAGACAAAACCAGTTCACTGAGACTGGTATTGCAGCAAAGAAAACCCTTCATTAATGTGAGGCCAGCCATGCAGAACAACCAGGGTTATCACTCCAGTCAATCTCCCCAAAGACTCAGAGTTTAGGGTTTTTCAAGGATAGTTTGGTGGGCAGGGTGGGAAGGGGTGGGTGCTGCTGATTGTTTGTGGATGGATGCAATCATAGGAATGTAGAAAATAGTCTTCATGCACTGAGTTTGTTTCTAGATGGAAAACACAGGACAGGTGAAGTCATGAGTCTGGGTGGTGTCAGTCAGTTGCAAGAACGTAAAAGTCTGAAAGACATCTCAAGAGACCAATTTTAGGTTCTACAATAGTAGTGTTACCTACAGAAGCAACTGAGGAAGTCACAAATCTTGTGACCTCTGACCACATGACTCCTGAGCAATACGGAATTATAGAAACTATACCTACATTTTAGCAGAATTCACGTCCCTCCCATAATCTTAATCTTATGGCTTTTCATTAGTCTTACAAAGGCAGTTTCAGCCCCTAAACAATGAGGGAATTCGTTTTAGGGAGGGACTGTTATCATCCTTGCTTCAAAGTTAAACTATAAACTAAATTCCTCATATGGTTAGCTTGTCCTACACCTAGGGATGAGCAAAGACAGCCAGCCTGTGAGGCTAGAAGCAAGACAAAATCGGTCACATTCAACTTCTCTCGCTGTCATAATCTTCGCAAAAGCAGTTTCACCGGCGTCAAGGTTGGGGCAACAACAGGGAGAGGTGTACCTGTGGGGCATGGAGGGCACTGTTCTGTCTAAGAAGCAGCCCTTGCTAGGCTTTGGGCAATGAGGAACATGGTGCAGGACAGGTCTGTGTAACCAGACATTCTCGTTTGTCATGGAAACCAAAAACCCAGATTTGTAAGTGAGGCTTCCTAATGTTTAAATGTTTATAAGTTATAGGAGGCTAAGGCAGGAGAATTATTTGAAACCAGGAGTCCAAGACTAGCCTGGGCAACATATAAATACCCTATCTCTAAGAAAATGCTAAAAGTAAATAAATAAATAAATATTTATAAATTATTTCAAAATATCTTTGAAAGCACTACGTGGGCCAATACCTCAGGGCAGACAAACTTGCCTGCAGACCAAATCCAACCCAAGGGCCACCCACCAGTTTGCCATTTCAGACATAAAATTGAACTGTTTCCTTAGAAAATGTGTAATCTACTTGGAGCAATCATAAGTTAGGTACTATAATTCCAGGGAAAAACTGAACTTATCCCATTATCAGTTGAACTGTGTCCCCTGAAAAAGATAGATTGAAGTCCTCCCCCTCTGAATCTGACTTTATTCAGAAACGGACTTGTGGTAGATATAGTTATTTAAGACGAGGTTATACTAGAGTAGGGCGGGTCCCTAATCCAATATGATCTTATAAAAATGTACTTACAAAAAAACAACCTGTGGGCCAGGCACAGGTTGTTTTTAGGTGGCTCACGCCTCTAATCCCAGCACTTTGGGAGGCCGAGGCAGGCGGATCATGAGGTCAGGGGATCGAGACCATCCTGGCTAACATGGCAAAACCCCGTCTCTACTAAAAATACAAAAAAAAGTGGGCATGGTGGCAGGGACCTGTAGTCCCAGCTGCTCAGGAGGCTGAGGCAGGAGACTGGCGTGAACCTGGGAGGTGGAGCTTGCAGTGAGCTGAGATCACGCTCTAGCCTGGGTGACAGAACAAGATTCCATCTCAAAAAAAAAAAAACACTTGTGAATAGACAAGAACACTCCACGTGACAATGAAGGCAGAGATTGGAGTTACGTAGCCACAAGCCAAAGAATACCAAGCACTGCCTGCAAACCACCAGAAACTAGAAAAAGACAAGGAAAGATTCCCCCTACAGGTTTCAGAGGGTGTACGGCCAGGCTGACGCCTTGATTTTGGACTTCTAGTTTCCAGAACTATAAGACAATCCATTTCTATTATTTCAACCCAGTTTGTGGTACTTTGTTAGAGTAGTCCTAGAAAACTAATGCAGATCCCATAAGAGATAAGAATATGTCATTTATTCAACAAATAGTTCAGTGAACAAATACTTATTGAGCACTTTCTATGCCTAGGCATTTATCTAAGTCTAGAGGATACATCAGCAAGGAAAAAAGACAACATGTTTCCCTCATGTAGCTTTCACATTCTAGCGAAAGGAGAAAGGCAAGCAACATAATAAATAAGTAAATTATACAGTGTGTTAGATGGTGGAGAGTGTTATGGGGAAAAAAGGGTCTGCCACAGGAAAGGGGCTGCAATTTTCAGAAGGGCAGAGAGACAGAAGTCATCACTGAGAAATGACAACTGAGCAAAGACCAAAAGGACATGAGGGAAGGATCCAGGGGCAGACAGGGGAAAGAGCATGCCAGGAAAAGGGAGGAGTAGTGCAAAGGCCCTGGGGCAGAAGGGTGCCCAGCATGACAGAGGAAGGGCAGAAGAGAGTATGACTTGAACATGGTGAGAAAGAGGTAGGAAGCAGACACCTTCAAGGTCATAATTAAAGAAAGAACGAAGAAGGAGCTTCATTACAAAACTGTAGGCAGACTTAAGGCAAACCAGCAAGTATGATGAGGCACTCCAGGGCTAGAAATAAAAAGGCCACCAATGCTTGGCCACCATAACATCCTTAGGCCTGAAGGCACAAGAGGAGGGGTAGCTAGTGGAATCTAGCAAGAGCTTGCTGCAGCCAGGGCCCCGGGCCAGTGGCTGTGTCTTTGATAGAGGAACATAGCTATGGTCTAGAAAGGAAAGGGGCTATTTCCATGAAAGGAAAGGGGCTATTTCCATGAAAATAGCTATTTCCATGAAAGGAAAGGGGCCAGCAGAATAAATACCACATCCTCTCACCTTCCATCTTCCCATGACTGAATATAACTGGAAGCCAAAGAGTAAGAGAGCTTTGGGGGCACAGCACAGGGTAGAGAAGAATACAGAGTGGGTTCCAAAGGATGACTGAAGATTGGCCAGCACAGGGAGATTTGCAGGAGATGAAGTCAGAGAGGTAACAGGGGCCTGGGTATGCAGAGCTTGCTAGATCATTTTATGGATGGTGGCTTTCGTTCGAGTGAAATGGCAACCACTGGAGAATTTTCGGTGGAAGAGTGATAAGACTTATGATTTGGAAGAATCACTCCAGCTGCTGTGTTGAGAATAGACTGCATAGAAAAGGACTAGAGTGAAGCAAGGAGACTGGCAGGAGGCTGTTGCCGTAATGCAAGCAAAAGTGTGTCTGGACCAGAGAGTCGGCCTAAAGGAAAACAAAACTGAGGCAAACTTAATATAAGTAGAGAGTTTATTTGAGCCAAGTTTGAGGACTGCAACCCAGAATTATAGATTCAAGTTGCCCTGAATATGAGCTCAGATTAGCAACAATTACAGTTGGGTTTTTAAAGGAAAAGAAGCAGCAGTTCCTAAGTTATTTACCAAAAATTTACATTAAAATAACATAAGCTATTGATTGGCCATACATTGTTATTAAATTCCAGGAAAATGAAGATTATGGGTGAGGCAGCTAGTCAGGAATAAAATGCCTTTAATCATGGACCCAGGGCGTGGGTGCAGGAGACGTTACTGAAGTCCCATACTCATGTCTCTGAGCCTGATAAATTTTGCATATCTCACACAGCTCAGATTGTTCTGAGCTATTTTTCTTTTCTTAAAAATAATGTTAAACTAAATTTGGCCTAAGGATGCCTCCATATTTGATTTCTTATGTTACAAACTATAACCTAATTTAGTACATAAGCTAACTGAAACTAACTTGGGTGTATACTTTTGTAACAAAAAGCTGAGTCTCAGCCAATCACAGCAGCAGAGCTTCAGTCAATTAAAGGTGGTCAACTGATCAAACCATACTGAGCTATAACCAATCAAGCAGCCTCTGTACCTCACTTCTGTTTTCTGTCTGTAAATGCTGCCTGCTCAAGTTGCAGCCTGGAGCTCTCTGAAACTGTTCCTGTTCTGGTGGGGGTGGGGCAAGGGTGGAGGTGCCCAATTTGTGAATCATTCTTTGCTCAATTAAATGCTGTTAAGTTTAATTTTTCTAAAATTTTTTTCTTTTAACAGTAGAAGCAGTGGAGGTGATGAGAAGTGGTGAGATTCTGGTTTATTTTGTAGGTTGAAGCAGAATTAACTGTTGCATGAGATGTGGGATATGAGAGAAGGCCTGAGCACCTAGAAGGATTGGGGGTGCCATGAACTGACAGAGGTTGTGTAATAGTGTGATATAAGAAGAAATACATGGCGGGCATGGTGGCTCATGCCTGTAATCCCAGCACCTTGGCCACCAATGTGGGACCATTGCTTGAGCTCAGGAGTTCGAGACCAACCTGGTCAATATAGTGAGACCTCATCTCAAAAAAAAAAAAAAAGAAAAAGAAGAAGAGGAAATACATATTTGGTCTCTGCCCCTGGTTGTTGAGACAGAGCTCCTGAAACTTTTATGATTTCCTAAGTGACAAGATCACCTGAGGCAGAGCTCCTAAATCCCTTGGAATTTCCTGGAGGACAGGAGCATCTTTTGTTCTAAAGGTCACTCTTGGTGGACTCCTTAAGAGCCTCATGATGGGGGCTGGTAGCCTGGGGAATCAACCATGTGATTACATTGGAACTTTCAAGCCCCCCTGCCCTGACCTCCGGGGAAGAGAGGGGGTGCTAAAGATGAGCTAATCACCAATGGTCAATGATTTAATCAGTCATGCTACATAATGAAGCCTCTATAAAACCCCAAAAGGACAGGGTTCAGAGAGCTTCCTGGCTGATGAATCAGTAGAGTTGCTGGGAGGGTGGCGCACCTGGAGAGGGCATGGCACTCTGTGCCCCTTCCCACATACCATACATTATGCCTCTCTTCCATCTGGCATTCATCCACATCCTTTGTAATATCCTTTATAATAAATGGGTAAATGTAAGTCAGGTGTTAGTCTGAGTTTGGTGGGATGCTCTAACAAATTAATCAAACACAAAGAAGGGATCATGGCAACCCTTAATTTACAGCTAACTGGTCAGAAGTTCAGATCACAACCAGGGACTTGTGGCTGACACCTGAAGTGGAGGGCAATTTTGTGGGACTGGGCTCCTAAACTGTGGGATCTGATACTATCTTTAGGTAGATAGTGTCATAACTGAACTGTATTATAGGACACCCAGTTGGTGTCTGCTGGAGAATTGCTTGGTATGTGAGGAAAAAAAAGATACATTTTGGTGAGAAGCAATAACGTATTCTATACGCTGTGTTGAGTGTTGTATGGTGTGTGACAGTAGGAATAACAGCCTGTTTTTCCTATTGTTACAATTGGCACTGGATCTATTTCATATGGGGATCAGGAGGAGGCCTGTCAGGAGACTAGGCTTGGCTGAGTGGGCAGGTGAGGCGGAACTGTTCACAAGTCTGGTTAGGGAAAAGTCTCTATGGAAAATACAAACTTGGGAAACATCAGTAAATAGATATATATTTGATATGAAAATGAAGTTAGCACTTCTCAATGGGAAAAGCAAAGTTTTCTGGAGGAGGTGGCATGTGATTGGCGACCTTGAAATATGGGATTTTCATAGAAATAGGTGGCAAGACAATTCCAGATTAAGAAAGAGCCATTATCAATGCTACAGAAATACATGGCGGGCATGGTGGCTCATGCCTGTAATCCCAGCACCTTGGCCACCAATGCGGTGGCCAGTTTAGGGAGGCTAGTTTAGGGAACACTTTTTCAGTCTGAATGAGCAGAGGACTGATTTTGGAGGGAGCCAGAGGCAGAAATATGAGCAGAATATCAGCCTTGTAACTTCCTCTACACACATGCATCTATCTACGAATTCATCAGACACCACTGGTTACCTTAAAAACTGTGTTTGTTGTGGACATTAACAACAACAGTCATAAATGTGTATTGAGCCCTTATCATGTGCTTATATGAAAATTCCTCACTTAATATTCACCCCCAACTAAAAACAAGGAAAGTAAGAGTCAGTGATTTGCTCCAGCTCTGTCTGCTGGCAGGATTGGAACCAAGGCAGTGTGACCCCAGGACCTTTGCCTTACCACTCAGCTCTACTTCTTTGTCAGAAAAACCAAACCAGGCATCTGTGGTGGTGGAGCCCGGCAGCTGTCAGAAATATAGACTACTAAGTCTTGGGCAAGGCGTTCTCCCGACTTTCTTCTGTATGAGATGTGAAACATGCCCTCTCCAGGGGTCAACTGAGGAACTAGCAGTGGTAGGTCCAGGAAAGAAGGTAGGGCTGCTGACCAGGGCTTAGGTTACCAAGCTGCTGACTCTGACTCACCTGGGAAAACTGACTGGCATTTAAAGCATCCACTCCCCATTTTGTGTCTCCTACAGGCAAACCTGGGGTCAAGGACAGAAAACCAAAGCATCGCCCTGGAAGGTTAGCACTGAAAGTGCCCTTGAATAGTAATGTGTCTATTCCTCTACTCCTTACCTCCTTCAAACCTATTTAGGACCATATTGGCTATGTCCCTTGTCCTACATTTTCTTGGAAGTTTTGTGACAAATCCTATACTAGAACTCAAATATGAGGACTTTCATGTTCACTGTGCTTCCACAAAAGATGCTAACATGAATTAGTTCCTGTTTTGAAAGGAATAGTATCAACAACAAAAAGGACGTCCACTCAGAGACCCCATCCGAAGGTCACCAACATCAAAGACCAAAGGTAGATAAATTCACAAAGATGGGGAGAAACCAGTGCAAAGAGGCTGAAAATTCCAAAAACCAGAATACCTCTTCGCCTCCAAATGATCACAACTCCTCACCAGCAAGGGAACAAAACTGGATGGAGAATGAGTTTGACGAATTGACAGAAGTAGGCTTCAGAAGGTGGGTAATAACAAACTCCTCTGAGCTAAAGGAGCATGTTCTAACCCAATGCAAGGAAGCTAAGAAACTTGAAAAAAGGTTAGACAAATCGCTAACTAGAATAACCAGTTTAGAGAAGAACATAAATGACCTGATAGAGCTGAAAAACACATGAATTAGTTCCTGTTTTAAAATTAGGTTTCCTGGTGAGCAGGCTGGAATAGAATCGTGTGTGTGTGTGCATGCATGTGTGTGTGTGTGTGTGTGTGTGCGCCAAGTTCATGATCCAAGCCCAGGACTGACACTCCCTACCACTCCCAGGGAAAGGAATTTCTTCTCAGCTCAGCTTGTCTTTCAGGAAAATTTAGATTTTAGGCATCTGACCCAGTAAATGGGATAGGAAGGAGAAGCTCTCACCATCCAGTGAGTCCTGCTTAGGTGTCTTTCCTGGAGAAACACTCACACCTGTGTAGCAAGAGGCCTACACAAGGAAGCCTACAGCAGCATCACAAGAAATAGTGAGGAGTGGAAGGAACTCAAACGCCCATCAATACAGGAGTGATTACCCAGCGGTTAAAACGAATGAAGTGGGTCTTCATAGAGTCAAAGAAAGATCCCTAAGATATTACGCACAAAGAAGGAGAAGAAAAAACGTTGGCAATACAATGCATACAATATGATCCCATTTGTGAAAAAGAAAAAACATCCCAACCATATGTGTGTGTCTGTGTGTGTATGTAGAAAGAAGATCCTCTTGCCTGATGATTTCAATGGATTTAATAATTCCACAATTGTGCATTGAGTGCCCTCTTTGTGCTGGCCTTGTGCTCCATAAGGAAATCATCCAGCAGGGAGCAGGGTAGGCAACATCATTGCCCTCCAGTAGCTGGATAAGGGAGGGATAAATCATGCCTGAGCCAGCAGAGCATGCCTGACCCCCCAGAGCCTTAAGCAACCCCATACCTCACCTCTCAGAATCAGAGCGTCAGCCCAGGAGAGTAGCCACAACCCCAGCATGCAAGTCTATGTATCACCAAGCCCCTTGTGGATCCGGAGACTGTCTCACCAGAGCAGCTGCACTCCTGGTGCCTGAGCAGATATGGTGCTCTACCCCCTAGGGAAACAGTCTTGGCTGTGTTATTTCACCCTACCCTTTGGGCTGAGCAACTGCAGAGCTCTATCTTCTTGGATGTGAACCAGCCCTCTGGAGTCTGAGCTGCTGAGGTATTGCACCTCCCCAAGGTGTTGAGCTATCATCGCACTGCACCTCACCTCCTAGAGCCCAAGCCACAACTGTGCCCCTCCATTCCTAGGAATTCTTGCCACTGCACCTGGACTCACACACCCTAGGCCACTGTTGTGTTCCACCTCTCCCGAGTCCAGACTCACCATGATGTGCTACTTCCTCTCCTGATGCCTGAGTTGCCACTGTACTCTGTTGGTTCTAGGCCCAAGTTTCTGGAACACTCCTTCCTCCCCAGAGCCATACCAGAGCTGTGCCCTGGCCCCCAGCATCAGAGTCACAGCTACATACCTGACCCCTGGGCCCAAGCTACTGGGAAGTGCCTCAGAGTAACAGTCCTCTGTTTAGTGGGAGAGCTTCATTCACTTGTCACAGAGAGTGAACCTGCAGCCACATTACTGGTTCTACAGTAGTACAACAAGACATTGAAGCCAGAACCCAAACTCCACAGCTACTCCAAGCAGCTGTACTCTGGAACACAGCACCACTGTGGCTACCTGTGGCCTGTGTCAGACCGAACACCAAGAGGGATCCCCTCAGCTACTTCTTCCCACTGTGGGGAAAAAAAATCAAGAGGACCCCCTAAAGACTTTTCCACTGAGAGCTCTAACAACCTACCCTGCCACCACTGCTGCTAGAAACTCCTGTAGCCTTAGCCACTGAATCAGCTGCAGCTATCAATGATGTCAATCACAACTGAAAAAACCGCATGGAGACTGCTCTACTGCACCCACCTGGAACCAGAGCCAACACACTCTGACCAACCTAGGACTCATATGCCAGCGAAAATCTTTCCCTATGAAAGCTACTCTAAAATTGGAGATGACTATTTCATCTGAGGCACAGACATCAACACAGGGACACAAGAAGCATGGAAAATAAGAAAATATGACACCATCAAAGCAGTATAATTCTCCAGTAACTGACCCTAAAGAAATTAAACTTCACAAATTTCCTGAAAAATAATCAAAATAATGATCTTAAGGAAACTCAGTGAGATACAATAGAATACAGATAGAAAATTCAATGAAACCAGGAAAACAACTCATGATCTGACTGACAAATTCAATAAAAAGATAGATATCATGTTAAAAGAATCAAACAGAAATCTTGGAGGTGAAGAATTCTTCACCTCCAAGATTTGAAATTAAAAAAATACAGTTGAGAGCTTCAACAGAATAGATCAAGCAGAAGAAAACGTCTCTGAACTTGAAGACAAGTCTCTTGCAATAACCTAGTTTGAAGAAAAAAAGGAAAAAATTGTGAAGAGTGAAGAAAGCCTACAGGATTTATGGGACACCATTAAAGGAGCAAATGCTCACATTATGAACTTCAAAGGAAGAAAAGAGAAACACACACACAAAGTTTCTTTAATGAAATAACTGCTGAAAGCTTCTTAAGTCTTGGGAGAGATACGAACATTCAGATCCATGAAGCTCAAAAGTCACCAAACAAATTTATTCCAAAGGCACATTTTTATTAAAATGTCAAAATAAAAGGCAGAATCTTAAAAGCATCAAGAGAAAAGCAGCAAGTGACATAAAGCGAATCCCCGTTGGACTATCAGTGAATATCTTAGCAGAAACTTTGAAAATCAGGAGAAAAATGGAATATATTGAAAGTACTGAAAGAAAAAAATGCCAGCCTGGAACACTATATCCAGAAAGTTATCCCTCAGAAATAAAAAAAGAAATACAGTATTCCCCACTTCATTACTATAGTGATGGTATGTAAATCTTTCAAATTGCTAGTATGAAGATTCAAAGTTAAAATGGTCAAAATAACTACAGCTACAATAAATTACAAAGGAAGATACAATATAAAAAGATGTAAACTGTGACAGCAAAATTATAAAAGTCTTGGGTATTCATATGCAACTAAAGTTAAGTTGTTATCTGTTTAACATAGTCTATCACAACTATAAAATGTTTTAGGTAAGATCCATGGTAACCACAAAACAAAAAGGCACAACAGATACACAAATGAGAAAGAGAAAGAAATCAAAACTTAACACTACAGAAAATCACCAAATCACTAAGATAGACAATAAGAGAGGAAAAAAGAAACAAAGGATCTACAAAACAACCAGAACAATTAACAAAATGGCAGGAGTAAGTCATTATCTATCAATAATAACTTTGAATGTAAACAAATTAAACATTGCAATCAAAAGAGACAAGCTGGATGTGGTGGCACAAATCCCTAATTCCAGCTACTCAAGAGAGTGAGGTGAGAAGATTCCTTGAGCACAGAAGCTTGAGACCAGCCTGGACAACATAGTAAGACCCCCATCTCAAGAAAAAATAAGACATTGAGTGGCCGACATAGAGCGGGTAAAAAAAAAGATCCAACTATATGCTGTCTGCAAGAGACCTATTTTAACTGTAGAGACATACATGGGCTGAAAGTAAAGGAATGACAGAAGATATTCCATGGAAATAGCAACCAAAAGAGAGAGAGCTTGCTATGCTTATATCAGATAAAGTAGACTGTAAGTCAAAAAACTGTTACAAAAAACCAAAGATCATTATTAAATGAGAAAGGAGTCAATTCATCAAGAGGGCATAACAATTATAAATATATATTCAGCTACCATTGGTACACCTAAATATATAAAGCAAATATTAATGGACATGAAGAAAGAAATAGATAGCAATACAATAAAAGTAGGAAACTTTAATACCTCACTTTCAATAATGGATAGTCAACCAGACAGAAAATTAACCAGAAAATACTGGACTTGAACTGCACATGAGACCAAAATGGACCTAATAGACATATATAAAACTTTCCATCCTAACAACAGGAGAATATACATTCTTCTCTAGTGCACATGAAACATTCTCCAGGATAGACCACATGCTAGACCACAGAATAAGTCTTAACAAATTTAGGATGATTAAAATTATATCTAGTACTGCTTCTGATCAAAATGGTATGAAAGTAGAAATCAATAACAGGAAGGGTCTTGAAAATTCACGAATATGTGAAACTAATCAACATGCTCCTGAACAACCATAGGTTCAAAAAAAAAAACCAAAAGGGAAATACAAAAATGTCTTTAACAAATGACAATGGGAACACAACATATCAAAATTTATGGAATGCAGCAAATGAAGTTCTAAGAGGGAAGTTTAGCAATAAATGCTTGTATTAAAAAAGAAGAAAGATTTCAAATAAATAGCCTTACATTATACCTCAATTATCCAGAAAAAGAAAAACAAACTAAAATCAAAGTTAGCCAAAGGAAAATTAATAATAAAGTTCAGAATAGAAATAAGTCAAATAAAGAACAGAAAAATTATAGAAAAAAAAAACCATAAGAGTTGGTTCTTTAAAAAAAATAGATAAAATTGATAAACCCCTAGGTAGACTAAGAAAAAAAAAGACTTAAAAAAAGAAAAGTAACATTACAGCGAATGCCTCAGAAATTCAAAGGATCATAGAGACTATTATGAATAGTTACATGCCAACAAATTGGTTAACTTAAAAGAAATCAATAAATTCCTAGAAATAAATAAACTACCAAGATTGAATTAGGAACAAATAGAGAGATTGAACATACCAATAACAAATAAATTGATTGAAGAAGCAATTAAAAGCCTTTCAACA